TAGAGGATGACACCCACTGACCACATGTCCACTTCAGGTCCGTAGGCGTTTCCCCTCAGAATCTCTGGAGCTGAAGACAGAGCAGATGGACAAGACTGAGAAATCCCACTGAGCAGCAGCTGCCTGAACGCAACACTGCCTGATACCACATGACTACCACTGAACTAGAACTGATACTACACTATGTACTACATACAGAACTGATACTACACTATGTACTACATACAGAACTGATACTACACCATCTACTACATGTAGTACTGCATGTATTGTCAGTGGTGGAGTACCTACCGCAGTATCCTGGGGTACCACAGACCGTCTTCATGGTGACTTGGTCATCGATGATTTTGGAGAGACCAAAGTCGGCTGAGAGAGAAGAAGAGAAAGTTTCATCGTCAGATCTGAACGAGTAATGAAAACTACTCTTTCATCATTTTCTAACAAGTTCCTGACGTCTGCTCATTTTGCTTTTCAAGTCAAAAGAAACCTTTCGTCTACAAACCAAACTCTTTTCTTATCTCTAACATCTTTAGTGAAAAACTGTGTTTTCATCAGTTTCCTGTTTCCTTTTTCAGCGCTGCAGTTCCAGAGCCGGAGATGAGTCAACCCAGTTCTCTGTGTTTCAGTTCAGCAACACTTCACTGGTCCAGAAGAAAGAACCACTTTAGTCACAACACTGCGACCACCATTGAAAAACACGTTTGGAGTCTGCAGAAGATTTAATGTTAGAAACGATCGATTTTCAACTGCCTGTCTTCTCTCTTGATCTATAAATCTAAAAATCTCAGGATCATTTTGATTTGATTCCCAAGTGAAAACTGTTAGCATGATAAAGTTTATTATTGTAGATGGTATATTATTGATTGATTGATTGATTGATTGATTGATTGATTGATTGATTGATTGATTGATTGATTGATGGTGATTTAACCCTTCAGGCGGTCCTCACCTATCTTGAGCGGAGCGTCCAGTGACAGGTCGGCGTACAGCAGGTTCTCTGGTTTCAGGTCACGATGCACCACGCCATGTTCATGTAAATACTGAAATACACATACACATCCGAATATGACTGAACTACACATTGAGCACTAACAGCGCCCCCTGCAGGCTGTACAGCTGCAGATCAGACAGGAACACAGAGTTTTCAGGTTGGGGGGGGGGGGTTATGGAGGATCTGGCAGCACAGACTGAACCACAGAATATAAAAATATAAAAACCATTAAAAATGTAATCTTAAAAAAGTGACTTCAAACTGATGTGTTATTGTTAACACCACAGGTCCACGTGGAGGGACACGACCCAGATGTTGAGTAACCCAGTTGTAAAACAATGTTGATATGTTCAGGGTCTGCAGGATTTTCTGTGATGCAGAGTAATGGCACACATACATAAACAGGCGCATGTTTTCCTGCATGTTAAATGTAGGTCAGTGTGTGTGTGTGTGTGTGTTAATCCACTGGTTTTAATCCGTTCAGCAGGAAGATGGAAGCAGCTGTTACATAAGAAACCTGCAGCTGCTAAACACTGCTGCCGTGAGCAACAACACTGCTGCCAGCAACACCTGCAACTACAACAACACCTGCAACTACAAAACCTGCAACTACAACAACACCTGTAACTACAACAACACCTG